TCCTGGTGCGGGGATGGGCTCCACCCTGTGGCTGGCCTGCCTACCTGTGCCTCTGTGTCCCTGGGCCCCAGGCACTGGTCTGAGTCTCAAGCTGTTGTAAGGGCAGCTGCCCTGGCCAGGGAGTGTCCTGGGTCCACTTCTCCCTTGGGGTTACCCCTCAAAGTGAGGACTCTTTTATGGTGAGGAATTTGGGGGGTACCTAGAAAGCTGTGAGCCTAGAGTCACCCCATGGAGACTGGTCTGTCCCTGCCTTTCCCTTTAGTGCCAGGACCAGCCAAAGTCCCCAGAGGCATTCAGGTCTTTTGTCCTGCAGTCCATCTCCCCTTCCTTCTCTGCTTCCAGCAACCATCCCGCACCCCACCCCAGTCCCCTGTGCTCAGGGTCCTGGCGTTCCTTCAGCTCTGAGTCTCTGCACTCGGGGGCTCTTCTGCCAGGAACGCCCTTCTGCACTCCTGGCTGGGCCCTGTGCTCTTTGGTCCACAGTGGTGCTCAGTGGAAACCTTCCTGGAGGTTGCAGTGGAAAGAGCATCTTTGGGTGGGACGCTGAACCAGGGCGAGGCCTGTGGGGGGGCGGCCTGGGGACAGCTCTGTGGGGTTAGCGTGGGTGTGGAGGCCGGCGACTGGCAGTGGGCAATGTTGCTGCCTCTCAGACAGCATGCCCAGCGGGACCCAGGCTAGGCCATGGCCCTTGTGAGCCTGAGCCCTCTGTGCCAAGGAGGCAGAAGCCCCGCAGGGCTTAGAGCCGTGAGAAAGGTGAGCCCTGCTGGCTCCCGGTCCATGGGTGTTCGGATGGCCCCTCACTAGGCACTGGAGAAAGGCATGGGGAAGCTGGAGTCAGTGCCAGCTCTGGACGTGGGACTAAGGCGTGGTCCCCATGTCTTTCTGATCCTGAACTCTGATCGCTTCCTCCTTCCGTGTTGCTTTCCAACCTGCCCAACACCTTCCCACCTGTAGCTTTCAGGCTTGCTGTCACCCTGGTGGGGGATGGGGGAGGCTTCCCAGAGGCCCAGGCCAGGCAGGTCCTCTGCGGCCTTTAAACTTGTGAGGTACCCACCCTCGTAATTTTCTCTGTGGCAGCCAGGAGCTCTTTGGAGCGGGCAGGGGCACTGACCACGCCATCCTCTGCCGCCCTTGGCAGGTGGCCCAAAAAGCTGTCACCCACCTGCGCCTCCTAGGTACCCCTGTTTGTCAATGCCCCCTCTGCCCAGGTGGGCCGGCCCTGCTACTCTTGGCCCTGCAGGTGCCTCCAGCTACGTGGCCTCAACTCTCCAAATCCTTCTGACCTCAGCTGAGTCCCAGCCTCCCACGCACACTGTCCACTTGAAGCACCCACCACAGACCCTTCAGGGCCACAGACTGACGGAGCGGACCAGCCCCTCACGCAGCACGTGCACCCGCACAGCCGTCCGGCCCAGTCACGGTGCTAGGCCTGGGGCCCAGCACGACCATTCCATTAACACGCATTGGCTGACTGTCCACTGTGTGCTGGTCATGGATCAAGTGATGGCACGCAGCAGTGAACCAGACAACAGCCAGCTCTCGGGGGTTCAATTCCCATGGGGAAGCCGGGCAGGGGAGGGTGCAGAAAGGCAAGGAGGAACAGAAAAAGATAGAAGGGTCTCCCCAAGTGTGACTTGTGAGCAGAGATCTAGCAAAGTGGAGCAGGGAGTCCTCTGACTTTCTGAAAACAAGCCATTCAGGTGCAAAGGCCCTGAGGCAGGCCCACTTCTTTCAGGTCCCAAGCAAGTGCAGGGGGCCCTCAAGAGGCTGTTAAGCTCTGCTTCCTAACTCAGGAAGGGTACTTGGAAGGGATGGGGCTCGTACCTTAACAGGTGTTCGCTGGACAGGATGGAGGAGGTTTTTCTTTTCTTTTCTTTCTTTCTTTGTCTGTCTCATTCCTGCTGCACTGGGTCTTAGTTGCGGCATGCAGGATCTTTCGTTGTGGCATGCGGGATGGTACAGGAGGCAGTGACCAAAATCATCCCCAAAGAAAAAGAAATGCAAGAAGGCAAAGTGGTTGTCTGAGGAGGCTTTACAAATAGCTGAGGAAAGAAGAGAAGTGAAAGGCAAGGGAGAAAGGGGAAAATATGCCCAACTGAATGCAGAATTTCAGAGAATAGCAAGGAGAGATAAGAAAGCCTTCTTAAATGAACAATGCAAAGAAACAGAAGAAAACAACAAAATGGGAAAGACTAAAGATCTCTTCAATAAAACTGGAGACAGCAGGAAAACATTTCATGCAAGGATGGGCACAGTAAAGGACAAAAATAGTAAGTACCTAAGAGAAGGAGGAAAGATTAAGAAGTGGCAAGAATACACTGAAGAACTGTAAGTTGGAAAACCATGATGGTGTGGTCACTTCCCTAGAGCCAGACACCCTGCAGTGTGAAGTCAAATGAGCCTTCAGAAGCACTACCATGAACAAAGCTAGTGGAGGGGATGGAATTCCAGTTGAACTACTTCAAGTCCTAAAAGATGATGCTGTGAGAGTGCTGCACTCAATATGTCAGCAAATTTGGAAAACTCAGCAGTGGCCCCAGGACTGGAGAAGGTTAAGTGTTTATTCCAGTCTCAAAGAAGGGCAATGCCAAAGAATGTTCAAACTACCACACAATTGCACTCATCTCACATGCTAGCAAGGTAAAATCCTTCAAACTAGATTTCAGCAGTATGTGAACGGAGAACTTCCAGATGTACAAGCTGGATTTCCAAGAGGCAGAGGAACCAGAAATCAAATTACCAGCATTCATTTGATCATGGAGAAAGCAAGTGAATTCCAGAAAAAACATCTACTTGTGTTTTATTGACTATGCTAAAGCCTTTGTGTGGATCACAACAAATTGTGGACTGTTCTTAAAAGAGATGGGCATACCAGAACACCTTACTTGTATCCTCAGAAACCTGTATGCAGGTCAAGAAGCAACAGTTAGGGCTTCCTTGATGGCTCAGTGGTAAAGAATCAGGCTGCCAATTCAGGAGACTCCGGTTCCATCCCTGCTCTGCGAAGATCCCACATGCTGCAGAGCTACTAAGCTTGCGCACCACAGCTATTGAGCCTGTGCTCTAGAGCCTGGAAGCGGCAGCTACTGAAGCCCGAGCACCCTAAAGCCTGTGCTCCGCAAGAAAAGCCACCACAGTGAGAGACTCATGCACTGCAACTGGAAAGTGGACCCTGCTCTCTGAAACTAGAGAAGAGCCCATGCAGCAGTAAAGACCCAGCACACCCAAAAGTAAATAAATAAAATTATCTAAAGAAAAGAAAAGGAAGAAGAAGCAACAGTTAGAACCAGACATAGAACAACTGACTGGTTCAAAATTGGGAAAGGAATACAGCAAGGCTATATATCGTCACCCTGCTTATTTAACTTAAATTCAGAGTACATCATGGGAAGTGCTGGACTGGATGAATCACAAGCTGGAATCGAGGTTGCCAGGAGAAATCAGCAACCTCAGATATGCGGATGATACCATGCTAATGGCAGAAAGTGAAGAGAAACTAAAGAGCCTCTTGATGAAGGTGAAAGAGTGAAAAAGCCGGCATGAAACTCAACATTAAAAAACAACAGAAACAAAAGCTAAGATTATGGCATCTAGTCCCATCACTTCATGGCAGATAGAAGGGGAAAAGTGGAAGCAGTGACATATTTTCTTTTCTTGGGCTCCAAAATCATTGGGGATGGTGACTGCAGCCATGAAATTAAAAGATGCTTGCTCCTTGGAAGGAAAGCTATGACAAACCTAGACAGTGTATTAAAAAGCAGAGACATCACTTTGCTGACAAAGGTTTATACAGTCAAAGCTATAATGGTCATGTATGGATGTGAGAGTTGAACCACAAAGAAGGCCGAGAGCAGAAAAAAATGATGCTTTTGGGCTGTGGCGACGGAGATGACTGTTGAGAGTCCCTTCAACTGCAAGGAGATCAAACCAGTCCATCCTAAAGGAAATCAACTCTGGATGTTCACTGGAAGGACTGACGCTGAAGCTGAATCTCCAATACTTTGGCCAATTCATTGGAAAAGACCCTGATGCTGGGAAAGATGGAGGGCAGGAGGAGAATATGGTGGCAGAGGATGAGATGGTTAGATAGTATCATAGACTCAATGGACATGAATTTGAGCAAACTCCAGGAGACAGTGGAGGAGAGGAGCCTGGCGTGCTGCAGTCCGTGGGGTCACTGACAGACGCGACTGATGACTGAACAACTATCTGGGATCTTTAGTTGGAGCGTGTGGGATCTTAGTTCCCTGCCCAGGGATTGAACTCAGCCTCCCTGCATCAGGAGATCAGAGTCTTAGCCTCTGGACCACCAGGGAAGTCCCAGAGATCTTTTCATTTCAGGTCCCAAGCACCATTTTAACTTGTTTTAACCATGGGTACCTATGACTTTTAGACTTAATGAAACTAGTTTCTAAAAGAAAATTTTGTCCCCTAGTGCCTGAAGCTACTCTTTCATATTTTTCACCAAGGAGGCTGTAAACAGCAAGAGGTTTAAAACCTGGTGGTTAAAGTGAAAAGGCAGTGCGAGGGGCAGCCCCTGCGTGCTTCCGGTCACACGGCAATGGGAAGGAGGAGGAATGAGAAGGAGGGGGCCCACTGGCGGGAAGGTTGGCCTTCTGGGGGGCCCTGCTGGTGATCTGGCTCTGTCCGCCCCGGCCCAGCCCTCAGTCTGCCGGCCCTGAGCCCCCGGACTGTGGTCCCTGGCGCGAGGTGTCCTGGTAGACGCAAACATGGCCACTGGCAGGGACGGACCCTAGCCTCCCCTGGGGGCTGTGGGCTAGGAGGTGTACTAAAAGTGAAGCCCGCCCTCCAGCGCCAGCGCGGGCAGGGGCGGGGTTCGGAGCGGCCTCCGGGGCTGAAGAGTGGCGGGGTGGGGCGGGTCGGGGGCGGAAGAGAGGAGAAGTGGGCCGGGGTCTGCGACCCGGCCGGGCTGGTCCGGGGCGGGGTCAAGGCGGGGCGCCCCGGGCCCGCCCGGCTGGAGAGGGGGCTGTGGCGGCAACATGGCCTCGGAGGCGGACCTGCGCGCCCGACTGCAGCGCGCCGGCCAGCAGCACCTCCTGCGCTTCTGCGCCGAGCTGGCGCCGGAGCCCCGCGCCGCGCTGCTGGCCCAACTCGAGGCCCTGGAGCCCGAGGCGCTGCGCCAGCACTGCCAGCGCGCGGCTGCTGCCTGCGCGCGTCCCCCGGGCCCGCCGCCCGACCTGGCTGCGCGGCTGCAGCCCCTACCTCCTGAGCGCGTGGGCAGCGCGAGCGAGGGTGACCCGCAGACCCGGCGGCTCTGGGAGGAGGAAGGTAGGCGGTGGGGGTCCGGGCGGCGGGTGCCGCGGGCGGCCGGAAGGGGCCACGCCCACGGAGCGGGCCGAGCGGGGAAGCGGAGATTGGAGCTCAGTTTGCCTTCTTCGTGAAACCGCCTGCCGTCTCGCGAGTACCGGCTCGGGCTAGTTCTGGGGCCGCCGCCCCCAGGCCGAATTCCCGGGGGCTGTGCTTCGTGCTGGGCGCCCCTGGATGGCCAGCTGCCGCTAACTAACAGCAGGGGATCCCTGGACGCTTGCACAGGCTCCTTTTCACAGCAGCGTTGGCGAGCTGTGCTCCTTGCCTCTGGGCCCGTAGCTGAGGCTGTTGCGCTTGGAGGGGAGTCGGCCCGGGTCCTAACAGGCCCGCGGGGTGTTTCCTCTGAAGGACTCAGGAGGGCGTGGCCAGAACCTCGGCGGGGTCGGGGTAGGGTTAGGGGTGGCTAAGGCCCCGGCCCAGGTCAGAGTGTCATCTGGAAAGTTGTGCGCTGTGGCTCGCAGTCCCAGGCTCGTTCGGTTTGCGCTAAAATGAAGCGGTGGTTGCTTGCTGGGTTTCAGGAACCCCTCATGGTGCCCCCTGCCTCCAGGTCTCCATCAGATCGCCCTGAACAAGGTGGCCGTGCTGCTGCTGGCCGGTGGGCAGGGCACCCGCCTGGGCGTGACCTACCCCAAGGGCATGTATCAGGTGGGGCTGCCCAGCCAGAAGACCCTGTACCAGCTGCAGGCAGAGCGGATCCGGCGGGTGGAGCAGCTGGCCGGCGAGCGCCACGGGACCCGCTGCACAGTGCCCTGGTGTGCCCCCGCTTGCACTCCCTGGGCCCTAGAGGGATTCCCCATCCCCCACCTTGTGTAGCCCCAGTCCTGCTCCGCACCGGGACTTGAACCCCAGCACAGCCCCAGACGGAGCCCAGCCCCCACCCAGAGGGAGGCCTGCCAGCCCCATCTGCCAGGGGGACCAGGCCCTCTGCAAGGCTGGCTCAACCTCGCCTCCCTTGCAGGTACATCATGACCAGTGAGTTCACGCTGGGGCCCACGGCCAGGTTCTTCAAGGAGCATGACTTTTTCCACTTGGATCCCAACAACGTGATCATGTTTGAACAGCGCATGCTGCCTGCTGTGACCTTCGATGGCAGGGCCATCCTGGAGAGGAAAGACAAGGTCGCCATGGCGCCAGGTACGCCCCCGTCTCTGAGGCAGGAAGGGTCTGCTTGGCCGAGAATGTGGAGCTAGCTCGGAGTCAAGAGGCCCGGCACAGAGGCCAGAGTATGCTGCCCAAAGGCTGTGTAGTCCTGAGCAAGTGAACTCCCTTCTCTGGGCCTTGATTCCCATCTGTCACGTGGAACAGTCACAGGGCTACTTGGATAGCGATAGAGCGCGTCCTTAGGCGCAAGGTCCAGCCCCGAGGGGCCTCCCCTGTCTCTAGCACACCATCAACTGGAGGCCGGCCGGAGCCCGTGCAAGGCCCTTTCTTCTCTGTTGGCAGATGGCAATGGGGGCCTGTACAGCGCGCTGGAGGACCACCAGATCCTAGAGGACATGGAGCGGCGAGGAGTGGAGTTCGTGCACGTGTACTGTGTGGACAACATCCTGGTGCGGCTGGCCGACCCGGTCTTCATAGGCTTTTGCGTGCTGCGGGGCGCCGACTGCGGAGCCAAGGTGAGCCGGCGCGCGCCCCGCCCTGCCCTGACTCCTCCTCCGGCCCTGACCCCGCCTCCTCCTCCAGCTCCGCCCTCTGCCCAGCCCCGCCCTCCCTGCCCGGTCCCGCCCCAGTCAGTGAGTTTATCGGCCCAGCCAGGCATCTATCCCCGTGTCGCGGCTGCAGGTGGTGGAGAAGGCATATCCTGAGGAGCCGGTGGGCGTGGTGTGCCAGGTGGACGGCGTGCCCCAGGTGGTGGAGTACAGCGAGATCAGCCCCGAGGTGGCGCAGCTGCGCGCGCCAGGTGGGGGTCTGCTGTACAACGCAGGCAACATCTGCAACCACTTCTTCACCCGAGACTTCCTCCGGAAGGTCACCAGGTGTGCGTGGCAGGTGGCTTCCCGGCCAGCCTGGCTGCAGGGCCTGGGGGCAGACCTGAGCTGCTGTGGGTTGCAGTGCAGAAGGGCTCTTGAGTTTAAACAAGCTGGAGGCACCAGAGAGCTCGGCAGCCAGTGCGGCCGAGTGGGCCTGGCCCTCCTGTGGAGAGGCTGTGCCGGCGGGTGCCGCCCACCCCGGGGCTTGCCCACCTCCACCCTGGGGCTTGCCGCTGCCTCTGTGCCTGGGCAGGGGTGAGGCTGATGGTGGCCGGCTCTCTGGCTCTGCAGAGACAGGGCTCAGCTGGGCCCTCAGAGCCCTGTGTCCGCTGTGTCCGCCTGTCCAGGTGCCCCGCCTGGCCAGGCGTGCGGGAGGCAGGCTGGGGCCCCGAGGCGTCCTGTCTGAACTGCGTCTTACCTCCTGTGGGCCTCGTGTCCCCAGGGAACTCGAGCACCTGCTGCAGCCACACGTGGCCGTGAAGAAGGTGCCCTGTGTGGACGAGCACGGGAACCCGGTGAAGCCGCTCCAGCCGAATGGGATCAAGATGGAGAAGTTCGTGTTCGACGTGCTCCCGTTTGCCAAGTCAGTGCAGAAGCCGTGTTTGTTCCTGCCCCCCGTGCCCGACTTGTGGTGGTTCTGAGGCCCAACAGTCAGGAAGATGGAGATGCCCCTTCACAGGGGGGCTGGGGGGCTGCAGGCGGGTTTTAGTGCGAGAAGCCTAGAGGAAGCAGTCCCTGGGGCGGGAGCGGAGGGCACATCTAGGGCAGTCGGACCCTCGGGGTTGTGGACTTGGGGAGACACCTGTGCTTCCTCATGAGCCCCCCTCTGCCCTGGCCTGGGGCCCTGAAGTTGTTTCCAGGGGAAATAGCTGGAGCTCCCAGGGTAGGTGGCCCCCAACTGGGGTCCCAGGTTCTGGGGGTCAGGCTGGTGGGAGGGGAGGGAAGATAGGACCAAAGATGGCTCCAGGGTCTTGGAATAAAGACTCATGTGTGACCAGGGGCCCAGAGAACAGACCCCCACGTAGTCTGCGTCACTCCGGCCTGGCTTTCAGCTGCTAGGGCCCAGGCCGTCTGGGTCAGCACGTTGGGTCTGCAGCTGTCTCCCCCGCCCCCCAGGAACTTCGTGGCCTTCCAAGTGCTGCGGGAGGAGGAGTTCTCCCCCCTCAAGAACGCCGACTCGGCCGACAGGGACAGCCCCTCCACGTCCCGGCGGGCCCTGCTCGCCCAGCACTGCCGGTGGGCCCTGCGGGCGGGCGCCCGCTTCCTGGACGTGCACGGGGCCCGGCTCCCCGAGCAGCCCAGGTGAGTGTGGGCTGCGGAGTGTGGCCCAGACAGTGGTGTCAGGGTGTTACAGGCCAGGCCTCACCCCGGGGCCCTGCTGGCGTGGCTGCTGAGCTGGGGTGGGAGCTGCTACCCTGGTACCACACTGAAAGCAGGTGGCCGTGTGCCCGGCCCTCGAGGTCTGCTCAGGGCCCCGGGGACGTGAGGGTTGCACCTTCCCAGGCGGGGCACCCAGAAAGCAGCAGGCAGGCCACTTGCCAGGGTGGGGAAAGAACAGGAACTTAGCTTCCACCCCAGTGCCCACAGCCACCTCCTGAGTCTGGCTATCCAGGCTGTGAGATGCCTGCAGGGGGCAAGGAGGGTTTTCCAGACCAAGTCAGGGCCTGTTGTTCTGGGGCGATGCCCGGGGCTGGGTGTTTAGAGGAAGAGGAGGTTGCCTGGAGGAGGGCTGTGGGAGGGCATGAACTGGCCAGCTCCCTGGTGGGTGGGGCCAGGAAGGGTGCTGGGACAGGACCCTGAGCTGATGCTGACGCATGCACCCCCCAGCCTGCCTGGCAGCACGGAGCCTCCGGCCATCTGTGAGATCTCACCCTTGGTGTCATACGCTGGAGAGGTAAGAGCCGGCCAGCCAGCAGGGGCTCCCCTGGGGTTGGGTTGGCGGGGTCAGACGGGGCAGGGTGAGCTGGGCGCTTGCCTGGGAAGTCACAGCTCTGCCATGGTCGACTGGCAGGGTCAGCGGTCCTCAGTGGCAGAGGACTGTCCAAGACCTGGCATGCAGCGAGCTGTCAGAAGCCTGGAAGGGTTGGGGAAGGCAGAGCAGGTCCATCTGGGCCTGGGGTTTGAGCCAGTGGGAGCCTCTCAGTGGGAGGACAGCTGCCCTGCCTCCCGTGGGCATTTCTGGCTGGCCCTGTGGGAGGGCCGCGTGGGCCCGGGGACCCAGGTGGCATCCAGCCCTTGCTCCCAGAAGCCTCTCTGGCTCTGCCTCCCGCTGGCTCCGGGCCGACCTGGGGCCTCGCCCGGTGGACCAGGACGTGGGATCCGGTCATCACGACCTGCTTGTCTCCAGGGGCTGGAGGAGTACCTGCGAGGTCGCGAGTTCCGGCCCCCGCTCATCCTGGACGAGGCCATGGCCAGGGAGCTGCAGCCCTGACCCCCGCCAACCCTGGGGCCCAAGGCTCAGGATGCAGCCCCGCCTGGGCTCCGGGCAGGAGAGCTGCTCTGAGATTCTGGCTGCAGACCGGGGAGCCCAGAAGGGAGCGGGCCCCCTCCACCAGGGTGGGAGGCCTCCCGCCACCTCGTCCCCGGGAGCCAGGTGACCCCAGGCCTGCGGGGCCCCTGGGGTGCTCTGGCTTCACTCCTGCTGTGGCATCCAGGCTGGAGGCAGAGGGACTGAGGGCACTGGGGTGGGGCCAAGACGGGTGCGGAAGGAACTGAGAGGCGCACGGGCCCGTCAGCCGAGGGGGCTCCTGGGCCCCTGCACACCCGTCTGGCGGGAGCAGCAGCAGCCACGCTGTGCTTTTCTGCAGAGATGAGGGGACGGCAGTGCCTGCAGGGCTCCATGTCGGGAGGGACAGCTGAGCCTGTGGGTCACACCCTGGCACGCCTTCCCTGCCGGCTGAGGCCCACAGCAGCTCCGGAGCTGGCTCTCTGGGAAGCTTGGCCTGAATGCTTGGCGGGGTTCTCTCAAGTTCCGTCCAAGGCCTCAGCCCCCAGAAAACAGTGGAACCCATGGAGGGTGCCCCACCTCGCCGCCACCCCATGCTTATAGGGAGCTTCTGACAACTCAGTGCTCACACTCCTTCCCCCCACAGCCCCTCACTGCACACCCCCAGCCTGCTCAAGGCGGGGAGAAGCCGGCTGGCTCTGGTCTCGGGCCCTGCCTGCTTCCCGCCTGGAGAGCAGCACGGGGCACCTGCCCCCTCCTCCTGTGAAGAGCGTCCTAAGTGCGGCCGCAGCTCGGCCAGGCCCGCCCCGCCCCTCCCCGCTCCTCCAGCCCACGTGCGGCCGTCTCCCCCAGGAAGGGTGCTGTCCCGGGAGCTTCAGTGGCAGTGGCCCTTCCAGGGGCCTGGAGTGGACGGGTGGCTCGTCCACGCCTCCCACCCCCGGTGTGACGGCGGGGCCAGGGCCAGGCCCAGGGCCCGGAGGATGACTGCGCCTCCACCCATCCAGGCTCTGCCATCAGTCCTAACTTGTGCCTTACTTGCCTTCCCCCAGCTGCTCCACAGGCGAGCAGAGGGCCTGGGGCAGAGGGTCACCAAGGAGGAGGTTGAGGGTCCCGCCTGGCTCCTCACTGCCACGACGGGGCAACCTCTACCACATCGAGCTCGTTGGGTAAACTATTAAAACAGCTTGCTTTCACAAAACCTTTTTATTTGCAAATAATTGCACCTTCACGTGAGGTCTCGCTCAGCGCAGAGAGGTCCCTGGTACACCTCGCCGTCTCCTGCAGTGTCTGTCCCGCTGCGATGCGCGAACGCCGTGACCAGGAGACCCTGGCCGTGCGGAGTCCTCTCTCCCGGCTGAGGCTCCCTGTGGGCCGCGGCGTCCCATGGCTACAAGCGCCTCTGTCCTGCTTCCTTAGGAGCCACGTGCCCCCATTGTCTCTCACCGACAGCTGCTAACTGAAGCAACTGAGTTTTGAGAGATGGACAAGCTCAGTTTTCCCAGAATGCCGGGCTTTCCAGTAAACACAAGGTGCTGTGATCCAGCCCGGGCCTGGCGGGTGTGCTGTCTGACCAGCGAATGTGGTGGGAGCAGCGCTGGGTGTCCCAGGTCTGCGTCCGTCCAGGGGCTGCAGCCTGCTGGCCCGCAGGCTGATCTTGGTATCAGGAGACTGACTATAGTGTGTGGGCAAGTGGACCTGAGTTTGGTTTCAAAACAGATTCACTGAGGCAGCCTTTAGCTCTGTGTTCATTAACTGACTGAAAGAAGATCCTTCCCTTTTAGTTCAAAGGACTGGGATCAAACAGGAAACCATGTCTACTCCAGATTTAGCTAATTTAGCCTACATTATTCAACCAAGCGAGACCTCTCAAATCCTTAACCTTCAACTCCGGTGAATAATGGTCCCTAACAAAACCCTTTTAGTTTCTGCTAGTGTTGCAAAAAGCCAGGACACTGGAAAGAGACTGTGACAAGCTTAAGTACTTCAAGTGCCTTCAGGTTCCAACCAGCTTTTCCAGCGCCCTCCTAGCCCCCAGAGATGAGGCTTTTTCTAAACCTTATCATCAGCTCAGAGAAACAAGTTTCCAGTTTGGGAATGAATCTCTTACCACACTCAGCTCAACTGTGGTAAAGTAGCCCCTGTCTTGGAAAACTAAAGTGGTCCAAATGGTGGTGGTCCCTGACGAACCTCAACCTCTCTGAACCTGTTTCTTTTTGCTTAGGCTCACCAAGATACCCACCACTCCCTCTCCTCAATTCTTCCACCTCCATTCATTAGGCCAAGACATTCTAGAAAATACCGTGCTGGAATTTCTTTCTTCCAAAAGGGGAAGTAATTCTAGGAATTCACAGTAACAATCAAAATAGCCAACAACGTGAACTGACTGTTCACCGCCTTTGCTTTGCTTTGTCCCACAGCCCTGGAGCTGCTTCTGGAGACACTGCCCATTTGTTCCTATTGAATCAGCAACCACCCTCCCTTGTGGGCAACATCTCCACCTGATACTGACAAAAGCCACAGTGCTCTTCCCGTCAAGACCCAAATTTAAGTCCCTCAAATCCTCTCCCCAGAACGAACTAACACCCTAAGTGGAGAAGCCCCTCCAGGTTTGAAGCCCGTGACAGGGTTCCAGGGCTCAGGGCATAGTGCCTGTAACACGGCTAAGCGGAACTCATGAGGAAGCCCAGGGGCTGAGGGTGGAGGTCTGTCCAGGACCTGCAGGCCATAATCAACGCTGCTGCCCCTCAACAGCCTGTTGTTCTTAACCCCCACCCTCTGCAAGCACTCCTGCTGAAAGCAACAATTTTCACTGTAGTTATGTTGTGCATTCTTTAGCACAGGAACACTGTGGGTCTCATTCAGGACCATTGAAAACAAGGACTCACAACAAAGCAAGTCAAATGAACCTTTTGGTACCAGTGCATATAAAAGTTGTTTATACTCTTCTGTAGTTTATTAAACATGCAAAGGCACTGTGTCTAAAAAACCAATGTATGTACTTCATTAAAAAATACTTCATTGCAAAAAACTGCTCACCATTAACAAGTTATAACATTTTAAAGTAACATCAAAAATCACTGACCACAGATCACCATAACATATAATAGTGAGAAAAGTGTCTGAAAAGTTGCAAGAATTACCAAATGTGACACAGACAGGAAGTGAGCAAATGCTGTTGGAGAAACGGTGCCCATAAACTTGCTCAATGCAGGGTTGCCACAAACCTTCAATTTGAAAGACACAGTATGCACAAAGTGCAATAAAGCAAAGTATGATAAGACGAGGTTCGCCTGCATGCCAGCTGATAAGGCTAGCCAAGACCTCTCAGATTCCACTTGGGAAGGACAACAACGCATCTGGACATGAATGCCCCGAGGTTTCACTGAAATTCCTTCTTTTCACAAGCCTTAAAGGCTGATTTGAACGATACAAGGTTTCCTGCACGCTCCACGGTATGACAGCATTGGGACGACTTACTACTCTGCTCTTCTCAAACCTCTTCACAGGAAGCCATCACCAATTTGTTAAAACTGTTCGGTTTTACAGGGACATAAAGTCTCCATGAAAAGCTGCATTTGATCAAACTCAGCATCGATACTTAGGCCGCCAGATCTTGGAAAACACCAACAAAAGTAATATTCCTCTCCTGGTCTCGACATAGCTATTATTTGCTACAGCTGCACGTTCTTAACTGCAAACCCTTCGCCATGCCCGAACAAACTCATTTTGCTGATCAAACAGCTGGCTACTTTTACGGCTGACAGGTCCGACAGATGAAAATCCCCGGGCTCCTAACTCCGCGGCGGCGCAGCGTCTTCCTGCCCACCCAGGCATCAACTGGGTCACATCCACCCGGGGCGATTGGGTAGGGCAGGGTCCAGCCCTGGGGTCCGCAGCTCAGACGCTCCCGGCTGACGTCGTGGAGCAGGGGGACACCTGCCCGCGGCCAGCACTGCCGTGAGAAGCCCTGACTGATCCTCGATGCCCACAGGCCCCGGGGGAGCCGCGCGAGGGCACAGGACCGCTCAACAGCCCTGAACGCCTCAGGAAGCCTATCGCAGCGCCGGGCAGCCATGGCAGTGAGCTGCGCGCAGGCGCGGCCGTGTGGGCGTGACGTCACCGCGCACGAGCGGACGCAGGAGGCGCAGGACCCGAGTCTGCCTTCAGCGGAGCCGCGACAACGGACGCAGGCGCAGTGGGGACCCGGAGGCGCGGCAGAGGCGCATTGGCGGCGCGGCGCGATGGGCGGGGAGTTGACGGCGCCGCTATGGCCGGACACCCGACTCAGACCGACTGGTCTTTCAGCCCGGCTCGAAGTTGGGCTTCCTGACGCCGCCGGAGGGCGAGGCCCTTCGGGCCCCCGCGGCCGTCATGTACCCGCCGCCGGCGCCAGCGCGTCGGGACTTCATCTCGGTGACGTTGAGCCCCGGCCGGAGCTACGATGGCGGCCAGGGCCTGAGGCGTCGCTCGTGCTGGCGGGTGAGGGGCGGGCCGGGCGGCCAGGTCGGCGCTTCCCCGGCCCGGCGTCTAGGGTCCGGGCGCGAGCGCGGCGGCTTCGTGGGGCCCAGGCGAGGAGGGCTGCGGGTCCCTCTCCGCCGTCCACTGTGGGCACAGACGGTCTCTGCGCGGGTTTCCTTTCTCCAGCTCTGACCAATGGGGCTTCACAGGTGGCTCGGCGGCAAAGAACCAGCCTGTCGAGAGGAGACGCGGGTTCGATCCCTGGGACGGGGAGACCCCCTGGAGAAGGAGGTGGCTCCCCACTCCAGGGTGCTCGCCGGGAAATCCCATGGACACAGGCGCCTAGCGGGCTACAGTCTATGGGGTTCCAATGGAGTGGGGCGCTACTAGCCAGGAGCACCCACGAAGCCGGTGCGGGGTGTCGGCTGCACTACCGCTCCAGCCTGCTGTCCCCGCTTGGAGGAAACGTCCCCAGTTTGGAAGCATCAGAGCCCCACGCTGGGCCTCGGGAATTGCTCCTCGTCCTCCCGGAGTCTGAAGCGGCGGGAGAGAATTGCTCCTTGTGCCCCTTTCAGTAAAAAAGTCGTTTTGTGTCCCTCAGAAATGGAAGCAGCTGTCGAGGTTACAGCGGACGGTGATCCTCTTCCTGCTGGTGGTCCTGATGCTCTTCGGCCTCTTGTCCTATGTCCACGTGGCCGATGAGTGGACAGGTACCAGCTGCGTGATCCTCGGGGGTCCTGAGGGCTGACTAAGGGGTGGCACAGCGATCTGGCAGCGGCGGGAGGTGTACACTTCAACGCATTGGCAGGAAGCGAGATGAGGAGATGCCTAGAATGTTCCCAGTCCCCCGCCATAAGGTGGCTGTTAATCTGCCGTGTGTGACTGTTTCCCAGACGTCTGCTATGAGAAGCGGCGTGTGGTCCCGGCCGTCTCGCACCGAGATCCAGGTCTGAGGGTACACGCGGAGTCTGCACGCACTGCGCTGCAGGCACTTCCTGGCGTGCACTGCTGTGCTGGGAGGCAAGCGCAGGTGCCGGGAGGAGGGGCAGCTCCCTCCTGGCTTGTCGGAGGAGGAAAGCTGCAGAGCCCCCGCGACTTGCTACGGTTAATGGCCTGTGTGCCATCGTGGGCCCTCCTTGAAGTGGAAAAAAGAAAAGCCAAGTGTTTGGGCTGTGGGTGGGGATAAAGACAGAAGCTGCCAGGAGATATGGGCAGGGTTTGCTTCCATGTGACCACTCTGGAATTCCTTGACCTGCCCTTTTCGGAGGTCCCAGCCTGTCCTTTTCCAGGAGTGCTGGCTGTGTAGGTGCTGTTTCCGGCACCCTTTGGCTCTC